CGGGCCGCGGCTCCGCACGCCCCCCGCCCGTCCCGGAGGCGGGCCCGCGCCACACCCCCACTCGGCGAGAGGCGGGCCGCGAGGCCGCGTGACCTTGGGTGGTTACCTGGCCCATGCGAGCCTTATTTTCCCTACCTGTCTGCAGGAGAACCCACTCCCTTGGTTGTCTCTTGGGCATTAAAATGCTATAAGCCTCCGCGTTTTCCCGTCTCGGGGCTTAATTCTGCCAGTTGTGCCTCTCTCTCCCAGTGAAACCAGTCCTCTCAATTCGAGAGGGGCCCGAGGGCGTCCCGCGCCCTACTGCGGGCTGGGTCTGTACCGCGGACGTGCCCCCCCGCCCCTTGCGGAGCCGGGGTTCGTTGCTGCCGCAGAAGGGCCCTGCGCGGGAGAGAAGTACACGAACTTCAAGGAGAAGCCCGGTAGGGAGAAAGGTGGAGGCCGCGGCGTGGCCACCCGACCCTTACCCCCGGGACCTTCCATGGCACGGGCTCTGGGCAAGTCCTTGCCGGGGCTCCTCCAAACCCTAGGTGGACGCAGGGAATGATGGGGACAGCAGAAGAAGCAGAGCCACAGAGCGATGGGGCCGAGGGCGATGCACGTGAAGGTTTCCTCGGGGTCCTGATCGAGCAGGTTAGAGTCTTGGCAGACATGCGTTTGGGAAAAAGGTGTGAGGCTGTCGCAGTGATGGTGTGAGAGATGAAAGGAGAAGGTTTGCAGGAGTGTTTTCTTCCACCAGGACAAACGTCAAGGACAGTTCTGCTCACGTGTGTGGGGGTGGGAGTGGGGGACTGGGGGGGGAGGGAGTCCTCGCAGCGTTCTGTGCTCCTCCACCCTCCCTGTCGGTGCTTTACAAACATTATCTCATCCGTTGCTTACAATAACCCCCAAGTTGGGGACCGCCATTCTCCTTTTACATGCAGGAAACCTAGGGCAAGCAGTTAGTCCCTGACGCTTAAGGAGCAGAACCTTGTCTGCTTTCTCCACTGTCCCAAGCTGCTTCTCATTTACTCCGCGTTTATCGAGCCCCTGATACGGATGGAGCTAGCCTCGCTCGAAGGAGGTCGCTTCCCGCCTTCCAGCGAAGCGCCTGAGGCCCCACTTCGGACACTCGGATTGACTCGATCCCCCACTGGCACTGGTCTATTTTAGAAGCGCCCCAGGATTCCAAAGTGCTGTCGGGGTGAGAGCCACTGCGCCAATTTTCTTACATAGGCCTAGCGATTAGGATTTTTCTGGGACCAACATTAGGTTGAGCCATATGAAATTGCCGGTTTTGTGGAAGGTCAAAAATGGTCACATAGCAGCTTTTTCATATGCTTCAACCTAATAGTAGTGAAGTTCCATCATGCCTCTCAGTCTTTGCTTAGGACGGGAGCGCTTTCCTACACTGCGACCCAAACCGGTTACACTCCGAAAGCACTTCCGCCTGGAATGGGCTTCCTGGCCCAGGGGCACCTTCTCTGTGAAGGCTTCCCTGACTCCCTCCAGCACAGTTAAGGCTTTCTGTCCACCACCACCCCAGTCACCAGTCATCTACTGAAGTTACTGTCCATCGCTCTGAGCGTGGCTGGCTGTTCTTTTGTCTTCCTCCTCTCTTTCGAGGGAAAGCAACTGGGACTATGAAGATTGCCTGGCACCATCACCGTTTTTGACTCACTATTAAACCACCCTTCTTTCATCGTTTTATTCCCACATGTCCCTCAAACCAAAAAATCAAACCCATGGAGTTGGCAACCACTGTCACAAAACAATACGTGTATTAATTGTTTAATGAGAAACTTGTTGGTTCTGTAAACCTTCATCTGAAGTACAATAAAAAAAAAAATTTTAAAAAGAAAGAAAATCAAACCCATTGTCGTCAAGTTGATCACAACTCCAGCAACCCCATAAGACAGAGTGGAACTGCCCCATAGGGTTTCCAAGACTGAAATCTTTACAGAAGCGGACTGCCACATCTTTCTCTAGTGGAGCAGCTGGTTCGAACCACCGACCGTTTGATTAGCAGTCTATCACTTTAACCACTGTGCTGGTCGCATATCCCTAAATAGTAGCAAATTCAGCAGGGTCCCCCCCCACCCCGCCCCGCCAACTATTAAGTATCAAGGTTAGATTTTCTCGTTAAATGATGTGTTGTATTTTTATGTTCTAATGATCTTGTGTTATCAAAGCTGAATAACATCCAAAAAATTACTCAACTACATGAAAATGAAAGAAGTATGATAAAGTTATTTAGATGCAAAATTCACAAATGAATAGCACCATCTTGCCACTTGTTTTGATTCTCAACTCTTCCCTCACTCAGGAGAATTAATTGGCAGGATCTGCATCAATTCCTTTTAAAAGAGCTTGTCATGTTTATAGTGAGGGCTGGAATGGAAAGAGAATGAACAGTGTCTGAGGTGCACTCATGGGTACCAGGCAACGCCCTTTGCTTACTGCTGTCATTATTGCTGAAATACTGGTACCAAAAAAGCATTCAGGGCTCTGTGGCACATTACAGTTTATAGGTCATTTTCACGTCTGTCTTGGTTATCTACTGCTGCTGTAACAGAAACACCACAAGTGAATGGCTTTAACAAAGAAAAATTTATTCTTTCAGTCTCGTAGGCTGTAAGTCCAATTCAGAGTGTCAGCTCCAGGGGAAGGCTTTCTCTTTCTGTGGGCTCTGGGGGAAAGTCCTTGTCATCAATCTTCCCCTTGTCAAGGAGCTTCTCTGTGCAGGAACCCTGGGTCCAAAGGATGCGCTCTGCTCCCAGTGCTGTTTTCTTGGTGGTATGAGGTCCCCATGTCTCTCTGTTCGATTCTCTCTTTTATGTCTCAAAAGAGATTGGCTTAAAACACACTCTAATCTTGTAGATTGAGTCCTGCCTCATTAACATAACTGCCACCTATCCCACCTCATTAACATCATAGAGATGGGATTTACAACACATAGGAAAATCACATCAGATGGCAAAATGGTGGACAGTCGCACAGTACTGGGGATCATGGCCTAGCCAAATTGATACACATATTTTCGGGGGACACAATTCAATCCATGACAATGTCTATTATTGTATTTCCTCCTCACAACATTCATGTAGAGAAGGCCCAAAGACATTCAGGGGCTTACCCAGACTCACAGAGATGGACTGCTCCAGAGTCTGGTGGGAACTTAGGACTCCTTACTCCAACCCTACTGTTAACATCCTGGGATGGGCAAGAGTCCATGATGGTTATTGCTAACTCTGGATTTTTACTGCTGTTACGTTAATGTTTCCATTAGCCATCTGTCAGATTGTCGTAATGTGGTGGCTTGCGTATTGCTACAGTGCTGGAAGCTATGCCACTGATATTTCACATACCATCAGGGTCACCCATGGTGGACAGGTTTCAGCATAGCTTCTAGACTAAGACAGACTAGGAAAAAAGGCCTACCAATCTGCTTCTGAAAATTAGCCATTGAAAACCTTATGAATAGTGCTGGAAGATGAGCCCCCTAGGTTGGAAGGCACTGCAATAACCACAACAATGAACTCAAATATCACACAGGCAACGTTTTGTTCTTTTGTACATGACAACTTGACAGCAACAACAACACTTTAATATTTGCTTTTCCGTTTGCCAGGCTGAAAGGAGAACACCTTTAAGTGGGCAATTTGCAGCCAGGATAACAGTGCAATACAGTGAAATGAGCACACCCTGAGCTTGCTCGCAGTGGGTAAATTTTGCAGAACAGCATTTCTTCAGAAAGGAAAACAAAGGGCTATGGGGTCACAACAAAGAATGCTGCTCTTCGGGGACACACCGGCTTCCTCCACCAAAGGGCAGCAGCTAGAAAGAACCTCATTGTCACCTGTGCCATGAATCACCTGGAAGGACAGCACAGGTGCTCCTCTCCTGCACAGGAGTGCTGTCGTCTCAGTAAAAACAAATCTTATTATTATCTGGGCCCCCTGTTTACCTGGGGTTGGGGGCTTGTAGTCCACTCTCTGCTCCAATAAGGGAGGTCGGTACCTCTTGGAGACTGAATGCAGTGTTTCTACAGCAATATGGCCCTAGACACCCCGAGGCTCTTTATTCACAGGTGCTCTCGTATATACATTTGCATTGGATCCCCATAACCACTGACGGCACTGGCATTCAGAAAAACTAAAAGAATTGGCCTGGGTCATAAGGGTGGTCCATAGTAGGCCAAGTCTGGAGCCTCAGCCCATCTGACCCTAGGCCCAGCATCACATCCACCACTGCATGGTGTCATGGCTAAGCATGGGGACCCCGAGTCACATGCTGTGGGCTGGTGTCCAGCACCACGCCTACCAGCTGTGTGACTTTGAGCAAGTCACCCAATCTCTCTGTGCTCCATCTCCTGATCTGCAGACTGGGGATGATAAGAGCCCCTAGTTCACAGAGCTGTCATGAGAATAGAGGCCCAAATGCACATAAAGCCGGGGACAATGTAAGCACAAACTAAATATTGTTTTTGCCTGTAACAGCGTTCTGTTTACACTCTGTATACATGGAAATGTATGTGTGTCATTCAAACTCTTTGAGCTATCAATTTAGGGACTGTGGGCAGAGTAGTTAGTAACTCTGGGAATCACTCCAAACCAGCTTCTGCA